CATTTTAAGAAAGGAAAAACAGTATTAAAATTGTAATAATATATATTGATAACGTTTGTTATCCTGTATATTGTATCTTGCATCCCTTATAACTGCAGAAGTCAAATATGACTCAGTGTTATTATATTATATATAATATATATTCAAAGAATTTTAAATTTAAAAAAATCTAAATTAAAATGTAAACGTTTAAATGTGTGGTAGCAACACTTCATTTAACAGCAACGTGGTCCACTGTTTATGAATCCAAACTGCTCTTAAAGTAAAACGAACCACTCTGCCTACAGTTACTCGGCATCAATCACCTCCAGCGGGCAGAGGGTTAAAAGAGGACCACAGCCCAGACCAGAATGCCGCTGAGAGCGGAGGAGGCCAGCCCCGCCGGCCGCGCTCCAACACAGCTCCGAGAAGGGAACCCCCGACTCCCACCCGCCGGCTGTTTCCCTCCCGCTCCGGTCTGCACCGATCCCCAAGGGTCAGGCACCTCCCCCAGGTCACTCCCCTCCCCCACTGTCCCCCGGCTGCCCCCGCCCCGCCTCAACTACTCCAGCTCCTGCTACGTCCCCTCAACCTAAGTCTCATCAGTTGTCAGCCCCTTCAGCACCTCCCCTTTAGAGGCGCCACAGTCCTCCGTCTCCTCACCGGGGTTAGCAGTAGTCGCCGCCATGGCTGTAAAAGCCACCGCCACCGCGCCACCCCCCCAGTGGGAGGAGCTACCGCTACCGAACTGGGGGGAAGGGGGAGAGAAGAGCCACTCCCCAGAAGCGGCGCGTTACCGCCACCAACCGCCACCGCGGAATCCAAGATGGCGGCTCCAGCCACCCTCAGCATCCCCAACACCCACGGCAAGAAGGCCCCGCCCTCAATATGGGCGGTGTTAACTCACGGCCGGCCTCCTCTGGAAAACTGACCAATGGAAACGCCAGGTCGACCAGGGGCGGGGCTGGTCATTGCGCTAGCCTGTCAAGTAGAGGGAGTGCTGGGAAGAACTCTTGCCGGCTCCCTAATCCCTCCTTCTTTGCTTTAAGGTTGATGGACTGAGTGATGTCAGTGAAAAGCGATCCAAATGGGTATTTTGCTGAAGAACTCCTTGGTGGTTCGCCTGCAACCGGTTTACTTTGTAGATCTTCTTTAAATCCTCTAATACTTAAACTTCAAATGGTGATTTGTAATCCTTTATACCTTTTTCCTCTTTTAAAGACCTTTGCTCCTGGTGAAAATAGTTCGGGGCTAACTTTTGAATGCTTGGTGTGGAACTGGTACTATAGGATCTAGGCGCTTCTGGTTTGATAAAGGAGATACCTACAGCAAAAACTGGAGGCACTGGATGACAAAAGTATTTTGATTAAGAGTGGGTAACTGGCTCAGCGCCTGTGGCTCAAGCGGCTAAGACACCAGCCACATACACCTAAGGTGGCGAGTTCGAATCCCCAGCCCGGGCCCGCCAAACAACAATGATGGCTGCAACCAAAAAATGGCCAGGCGTTGTGGCGGGCGCCTGTAGTCCCAGCTACTTGGGAGGCTGAGGCAGGAGACTCGCTTGAGCCCAGGAATTGGAGGTTGCTGTGAGCAGTGAAGCCATGGCACTCTACCTAGGGTGACAGCTTGAGGCTCTGTCTCAAAAAAAAAAAATGTTTTTAATGAACCAAATAAAACCTTTGAGGATATAGTAAATTTTGCATTGGAGGTACTTATGAACATGTATGACTAATCTAAGTGAAATAATTGTTTTGACTTTTGATTCAAATGTCTCAAGTAAATTCTTTTGAGGAAAGGGGGAAAAGATAATGAAGCTTTAGTGATCCTGTTGACAAGTTCTCAAATTTGAGCATACATCACAATCACTAAAGGAGCTGGTTAAAACACAGATGTCACACAACGTGGTGATACTTGTCTATAGTCCCAGCTACTCAGGAGGCAAAGACTAGAAGATTGCTTGAGTTTGAGGCTATAGCCAGCTATGATCATACCACTGCACTCCAACCTAAGCAACATAGTGAGATCCCATCTCTTATAAAACAAAGACAGATGCAACACCCCCAGAGTTTCTTATTCATTAAGGCCAGGGTAGGGGCACCAAAATTTACATTTCTAACAACTTCCCAGGTAATGCTGCTAATCCAGAGAGACCCATTTCATAGACCCAAAAGCTGGCTAATGAAAGTATTACCTGAGCTATTTAACTGTAGCTGCCCCAGCCCTGGCAGAGTTGTGGAAATACTCCTCCACCCATCTAGGCTTCAATTTAATCTAGTGGGATCATTTTCTTACTCACTATGGAGTGTCTGAAACTTGATCTTGTTTTAGTTTAACTATTTATGAAGCTTCTGAGTTCAGTGTGGGAGTAGGGAAGCAAGAGAGCTACCAACCACTCTCCTTTTGCAGTTGGGGGCTGAAAAAAAGAACAGAGCCTGCCAAGAAATGTGCTCCAGTAGGAGATTGCCCTGGTAATAGCCAAATCCAGCCTGGGATATCGCTCTCTTGAAAGGTAAATAACTATGCATATTACCTTCCTGCTGCAGTTTTCACTGGGAAAAATTCCACCAATGTGAGTTGCTTTTTTTTAAGACGGCATCTCACTTTGTCACCTTGGTAGAGTGCTCTGGCGTCACAGCTCACAGCAACTTCAGCATCCCAAGTACTAGGGACTACAGGCACCGACCATAACACCTGGCTATTTTTTGTTGCAGTTGTCATTGTTTAGCTGACCCAGGCCAGGTTCAAACCTGACAGCCTCAGTGTATGTGGCCAGCACCATAACCACTGTGCTGTGGGTGCTGAGCTAACAATTGCAAGTTTAATAGCATCTTCCTATGAGCTTGGGAAATGGTGGAGAATGATTGAGCAAAGTAGGAGGGTTTTTGTTTTTTGGGTTTGTTTGTTTGTGGGGTTTTTTTTGTTTGTTTGCTTTGTTTTTTGCCTAGGTTGGACTTGAACTCCTGGGTTCAAGTGAACCTCTGGACTCAGCATAAGAACTCTCTCTTTTTTATTTTTTTCTTAGAAAAAATTGAAACTTTCATCTGAGAGGTGAAGTCTTAGGCATAGTCTCTTTGTAAGGCAAATTGTGGGGGACCTCTGATTAGTCCTGTTACCCAGAGAATGTCTTTGATTTTAGGGATTATAGTAAGAAAGCTTCATACTTATATTTCTTCATCACTTCTCTCTTTAGACTAAACTTATGGCCAGGAGAAAAAAGCTGTGTCTTTTTAGTATTTGGGTTTTTTCCCAGGAATGGTAGGGCACTCCAGTTGGGAAGAATGAAGTGATTTGGGAAGAGAACACAAGGAAAGGAAGGGATGATTGATATTTCTGAAAGTGAAAGAGGAACTGACTTTGCCAGTAAATACTATTGTTCTGTTTCTTGCTTTAGCAGGACCAAATTTAACATAAACCAATAGTTTCATGCCCCACCTACTCTAGTTCTGTGCAGTGCTGCTACTAATCTCAAACAAAAAATAAACTTTAAAAGCCACTGTAAAAAATCCTAGGAGCCACTTTTAAAAATCCTTCTCTTTGGAGACAGATTCTGGATCTACCATATTTTTTTTTTTAGAGATAGCACCTCATTTTGTCACCTTCAATAGAATGCTGTAGCATCACAGCTCACAGCAACCTCCAGCTCCTGGGCTTAGACAATTCTCTTGCATCAGCCTCCCAAGTAGCTGGGACTACAGGCGCCCACCACAACGCCTGGCTATTTTTTTGTTCCAGTTTGGCCAGGGTTCAAACCCGCCACCCTCAGTATATGGGGCTGGGGGTCTACTCACTAAGCCACAGGCACCACCCTGGATCTACCATTTTTTATAGTGTATTTCTCAAGAAAAGTTGTGTGGCCTACAATGACTCAAAGAAAGGAAACAATATGCAAGACTCCTGTTAGACCCAACGCAGGGTCCGGCTAAGATAGCTACCCCCAAGGAACAGTCACCAGTCTCGGGTTGATGCAAAAGCAAGAGGTGAATTTATTTCTGACGCGTCAGGGTCCCTCAGCCGCTCGGAGAGGAACCCCGAAGAGCTGTTACAGGCTGCTTTTATACCCAAAAACCGCCGGGGGAGGGGGCGGAATGCCGTTGGCGGATTGCCGTTGGTGGAATGCCATTGGTGGTTTGAGGAAGCAGGAGAAGGGTTATATTCAGGGGGAAACAGGGGAAGGGTCATTCAGGGGGTCTCTTCATTCCCTCCTCTTATTAAGTACCTGGTCTTAATCTTAAGACCTCAAATTAAAGGTGATCATGCTGTTGTAGGGCTTGATATTGTTGAGTGAGTACGAGAGCTTGAGTTATACTAAGTCTCTCTTGGATGAAGGCAAGTAAGCGGAAAAGTATACAAGGACCAAAGGTCAGGAGGAATAGGAGGATGAGTAGGGGTCCAGCTATAGCAGAAAGGAGAGTAGTTAGCCAAGGGGACTTAGTAAACCAGCTTTCAAATAGACCTTGTTGGGACTCTCAGTCTCGTTGTCTCTGGGCTAAGCGGTCTCTAAGTTTAGACATAGAGTCTCAGACAACTCCGGTGTGATCAGCATAAAAACAACACTGTTCTTTTAGGGCCACACACAGGCCTCCTTCCTTCAAAAATTGGAGGTCTAAACCTCTTCTGTTTTGTAAAACTACCTCTGACAGGGAGGTTAAAGATTGTTCCAGTTTGGTAATAGACTCTTCTATGGCTTTCAGGTCTTCATCTATAGCTATCCTTAGCTGGGTGAAATGTTGGTTACCCTGGATGAGGGCTGCTGCCCCGGTACCAACTCCTGCTGAGACTCCAATACCTAGGATTACTGCTAGTGTTAAGAATACTGGTTTCCGCTTCTGTCTCTGGGAAAAGCGGTTGTCGAGAGTGTGTTCAGGGTGCCAGTAGACCCGGGGAAGCACATGTACGAGTACACAAAAATCCTGGGACTGGTTAAAAATGGAAGCGGACACACAAGGGGTGAGGCCAGTGTTACAAGCCCACCAGAGGTATGGAAGTAAGGGACACAGGAAGGTAGAAGGGGGGGAACCGATAGGGTGGTGTTGCATAGGTTGGAATAGGGGAGGCTCGGAGTTCCCAGGCAGGTCCCTGAGCCAGATACCTCTGTAAGAGTTAGTTTTCAGTGTTCTTTCCAATCACAGAGATCAAGGGAAGAAGAGTTGGAGAAATTACCGGTGGTGGCTACTCCTTCGTAATACGGGGGATCCGAGGCTATGCACAGCCAGCAGGATTCAGTGAGATTAGGGTTTGTTAGGTTTAGGACCGTGTAGGTCCCTTGGATTAGGTTAAAGACACAGCTGGAAGGGGTGGATACAGGACTGAGAGGTGAGGGAGTATTGTGAAGGGTGTTGTTGTTGGGGTTAGGGGAAATGGTGGAGGGGGTGTGGGCTACGGTTGAATCCTGGAGGACGGGGTTCGGGCCTATTTGTACCAGGGGATATGGATCCTTTACCTGGACCCTAATCAGGAAGACGTTACCTTGGTCTGGTTCATAGGCATTATACAGTCTTATACCCCACCATTTGCCGATTTCCCAACCCTGCATCCGTTTCCCTTTCTCAGTGAAGCTAATACTAACTATGTCACACTTGGGATTTACTAGGGGGCATCCTTTGTCAGGGCACTTAGTTTTTCGCTTTACTTGGATTAGGTCTCCCGTTCTAGGGGGGTTCCACCATATCTGTCCAGTGGAGACACAGCTCCAATGGAGACAAAAGTATGAACTTGCTCCTCCACACTTGTCAGAGAGATGACCAGGGCAGACATAGAAAGTCCCCGTTAAATCTGGACGGCACCGGCTTGGCGCCTGTGGCTCAAGTGGCTAAGGCGCCAGCCACATACATCTAAGGTGGTG